TCTCTCTCTCTCTCTCTCTCTCTCTCTCTCTCTCTCTCTCTCTCTCTCTCGATAGTCTGTTTTTAAAGTTCTGTTTCTCTAGAGAACCCCTGGGTAAGACATCTACCAAGGATAAAAAGGTAGTAAATAGCATGAGATTCTTTTTTTGTTTGTTTAAAGATTTATTATTTATTATGTGTGCAGTGTTCTGACTGCATGTATGCCTACAGGCCAGAAGAGGGCACCAGATCTCATTATAGATGGTTGTGAACCACCATGTGGTTGCTAGGAATTGAATTCAGAACCTCTGGAGAAGTACACAGTGCTCCTAACCTCTGAGCCATCTCTCCAACCCCCCAGGGTGAGAGTCATATATATGGCAGGAGAGATGGTTAAGAACACTGACTGTTCTTCTAGACATCCTGAATTCAATTCCAAGCAACCACATGGTGGCTCGCAACCATTTGTAATGGGATCTGATGCCCTCTTTCCGGTGTGTCTGAAGGCAGCTACAGTGTACTCACATATATAAAATCAATAAATCTTTAAAAAAAATTGTAAAAGCCAGAGGAATAGGAAGTTTGCTTAGATTTCTGTGTCCTAGAAATGTCAATGAAGAAACACCCATAAACTCCTATCAACATGGTTGTCTAAACAAGACCAGAACAAGCACCGACTGACAGGCTAACATGGAAGGAGGAGAGGCCTCACCATAGGCAAAGAGCTGTAGGCAACTAAGGAATGCTGACTGGGAGAAATCGTCTTCCCTAGCTATAGAAGACAGCCCAGATTGGTTATCCAGTACCACGTGGTCAGTCCTGAAATCGTTTACATTCAAGTAACACTATACATATTGAGCAGGTTGTATTTCTATATTCAGGAATATAATAATACACACATACACATATGCACACGTGTGAAACAAGGGAAAAACGGCATGAATTTGGAAGCAAGGGGAAGGGCAAATATGAGAGATCAAAGAGGGAAAATGATGTATTTTAATTACAAACTTTATATAATTTTATAGAATACATTTATGAATTTTATAATTTATATTTTTATACAACATAAATTATATACAAATAATTATTATTTATATATAATAAAATTATATATATAATTATGGAGGCTGGGAGATTGCCCAAGAGCATTTGTTGCTCTTCCAGAGGACTGAAGTTTGGTTCCCAGTACCCACACTGGGCAGGCAGGTCACAGAGGCTGTAACTCTAGCATGACTCTACCATGCTCTTCTGATCTCCTTGGGTACCCACATGCATGAGGTGCGTGCGCACGTACACACACACACACACACACACACACACACACAAACATAAAAGAAGTATTTAAGGTTGGGTATGGTGCATATTCCTTTAATCCCAGCACTTGGGAGGCAGAGGCAGACAGATCTCTGAGTTCAAGAACAGCCTGGACTACAGAGCCAGTTCCAGGACAGCCAAGGTTATGCAGAGAAACCCTGTTCTAAAAAAACCAAAAATGAATGAATGAATGAATGAATGAATGAATGAATGAATGAATAAATGAATGAAAAAGGAAGAAAGAGGAAGGAAGGAAGGAAGGAAGGAAGGAAGGAAGGAAGGAAGGAAGGAAGGAAGGAAGAAAATAAGAAAGCTGCCAGACATGGTGGTGGTGCACACCCTTAATATCAGCACTAGGAAGGAATTATAGGTTGGAGTGTATCTGTGACGGTGAAGCAAGCCTGGTTTATCTAGTAAGTTCCAGATCAGCCAGGGCTACATAATGAGATCCTGTCTCAACACACACACACACACACACACACACACACACACACACACACCCCACAGCTCAAGTCAGACAGAATTCCATCCCAGAGAAGAGGAGGTTGGCACAAAGTCCGTCCCTAGCCAGGAGGCTATTCCAGTTGACAGCTGCTGGGAGAAGAAAAGCCACCGTCTCCAATGGCATGACACTGACACTGGGGTATTAGCCACACTCCAGGGCAGGCCCCATGCCTAGTCGCTGCTCAATACAATCAGACGCCACAGGCTTGCTGTAGTTATTGCTGGTTTGGGCTTGAATTTTTGTCTTTGTTTTAGAAAGAGAAAGAACATGAAGTTGGGAGTACAGGGAGGTGGAAGAGGATCTGAGAGGAGCTGGGTGGGGGGAAGCATATGTCAATATGGTATATGAAACATTCAAAAGGTAAATAAAAACATGAAAAATAATACAACTAACCACAAAACACATGTAAAAATAAAAGACCATCAGGTAGATCCCAATTGATCATCATAGCTGAGTAAAAAGAAAGATGTCAGGACAGCGGACGTTCTAATACCCATGGTGACCTCCTCATTATTAGTAAAGACTGATGAGTTTGTCTGGATTTCCTTCATTTGAACAGAAAAAGGAGAAATCAGTGGAACTGGATTTCAGACATCTTTATTCCATTAGAGTCTCAGAAGAGTTCCCCAACACAATAGCATATCACAAAGTACAGCACCGGGCTGGCTGGGTAATAGTGAAGTAGAAAGGATCTTGTAGCTTGAGATGTTGTAATCTATATCTAAAACAGACAGATACTCTTGTAATGCTCTGTGACAGATGAGGTGTCAGTGGGGCACACAGAATCGCACTCTTCAGCTTCAGATGACTAGGTCGGAGCCATCAGCAGACTGCGAAAGGGGCCACTCAGCGGTAATCACTCAGCGCTGCTATTTGCAGAAGAGAAGCAGCAGTTCTCAGTCTTTTGGATTCGATGTACCAAATGGTTTCCTCAACAGGTCAGATATACATTTATAGCAAAATGGAAAGCATTTTCCAGAATAAACTACCTGACTTAACCTGAATAAGAAGCCTTCGTCTGACATGCCTGGGTTCTGTGGAGGCACACCCCGAACCAACCTCTTCCTAATCTCGCCTAAGCTTTCTAGCTTACCATCACCCAGCGCCACTGCTGCGAGGGGTCCTACGGTAGCCGAGGCACTGTGAGCTGCCGATATCAAGTAGGCTCTTCCAGACTTAAGCTGGAACTACAATAGCAGCACTTCCGCGGCAGTGTTTGTATGTGCCTTCAATGGCTATGTGCAGAGCAGCACTCAAACTGCTACACTATAAAAGGGTTCCCAGGCATCCACACGGCACAGCTGCTCACTTTCTGCCTTAGTAGGGAAATCCCAGATACAGAGAGGAGATAGCTTTATGTCTAATACCTGCTCCCTTCAAGTTTGGGTGTTAGACTAAGGACTGAAGGCATATCATTGTATCTAGAACTTCGTAAGCTTTCCAAAGTATTTGACATTCATGAATTCATTTGGGTCTCCAAACGGAACTGCAAAAAAGAGTGCAGTATCACATTGTTAGCCCAGTCTTACAGAAACAGGATACTGAAGTCCGGAGCACTGCTCTGTTCAGTGCCTGTCTGACTGCCAAGGACAGTGTAACCTAAATGCCAGGGCTGTGACCTCCAGGCCACTGCTCTCTCAGTTATACACACAGCACAGTCTAAGAGCCCTTCGGAGGACACGGAACAGCTCTACTCACTTGCATGGCATCCTGTACTCAGATTTGTTTTCTGCCATGTGCTCCTCTGGACAGGCTTCCATGTAGAACAGAGCACCTTCAGTCACCACGCCTCAGCCTTCAGTCACCATGTCTCCAACTCAGCCTCCTACCCGGCTCTCAGACTTCCCTTGTTGTGGAAGACGTGGTGTTTTGAGAGACACTGGCAGGTAGTCTGCTGAACTGAACTTGCATGTTGCTCTGATGCTTAGATTGTGGCTCACTGGGAAGAAAGCCACAGAGCTCTCCACACTTCATCCTGTCGAGGATGCTGACCTCCCCTGACTCAGGCAGTGCTTGCTAAGTCACCCCCACCCTCTCTTTCCATGCTACTCTTTGGAAGGAAGTCACTATGTATACAGCCCACACTGACAAAGTAGGACCATCAGAAATCCCTTCCTACCCCTGCTCTTGCCTTCTTCTTCTCCTTATCCACCCACCCACCCACCCATCCATCCATCCACCCACCCACCCATCCATCCATCCATCCATTCACCCACCCATCCATCCATCCATCCATCCACCCAACCATTGCTATCAGCATGGACCTATGGAAATTTAATGCACACTATGGGCTATAATCCAAAACAGCAACTTACTCATTTTTAAATTATTAAAGCTGTGCTCACTGGGAGCTCCTGTCTGACTATCCTTTAATCCAGCGGCTCTCAACCTGTGGGTTTAGATCCCTTTGGGGGTGAACAACCCTTTCACAGGGGTCACATATCAGATATTCTGCATATCAGATATTTGCATTATAATTCATAACTAGAAAAATTACAGTTAAGAAGTAGCAATGAAGTAGCAATGAAAATAATTTTATAGTTGGGGGTCACGAAAACATGAGGAACTGTATTAAAGGGTCACAGCATTAGGAAGGTTGAGAACCACTCTTAATCACTATGGTTTTTGTTCGTGTGTGTGTGTGTGTGTGTGTGTGTGTGAATGAATGAAAGTGTTTTGGTTCTAGTTGTGTTCTAGCCAAATAACCACTACCAAAGACATCTCCCTCCAGCTGTGCTAAAGTGTACAGGGGACTTCAGCAGAGCAACTCAACTCTAGGAAACAACAGTACCCCAAATTACTTTTTCATCCAAATAGGGAAGTCTAAACAGAAAAGAAAACATACAAACACCTTTCATCATTAGACAAACCATTAGGCTTGTTCTACTTTAAACCAACCCAACACAGTTAAACAGAACCACAGGAAGCTCAGAATAACAGAGTCATTTGTCGGGGGTCATCAGGGAGAATACTGATAGTATCTTCAGCTTTGCCACACAGCAGACACAGCATGGTATATTCCTAGAACAAGACAGAGTGCAAAATTACTTCACGGGACAGAGAGAAAGATGCTTAGTAAAGCTTTCCTACAGATTGTCACTGATAATCTTCCCACACATTAGATTAGTTCTTCAAACCCTATTAGCAATGCTTTAGGTGTATTCTGTATACTCCTGGAGCCTCTTGTTTATGCAAGCTCTCTTCTCGTATAGAAGGATGGCTCACACACTGAAGTATGTGGCTATTTCTTGGCTTAAGAAAGCGTACATATTTAGCTTACTGCTTCTATAAAACTACCAAAGAGATCTGGGCTGGGACTGCATGTAGTTCAATTGGAAAAGTGCCTGCCTAGCATGCACAAAGCCCTGATGTTAATCTCTGCCCCTGCACAAACTGGGCATGATGGCGCACAACTGTATCCCAGCACTCAGGAGGTGGATACAGGAGGATCAGGAGTTCAAAGATAGCCTGGATTCCAGGAGATCTTACCTCAAAAAAATAAATAAATAAAAATAATAAAAATAAAATAAATAAATAAAATAAAAATAAAAATAAAACAAAAACCACACCACCACCACCACCAAAAACCAAACCAGAACAGAATAAAGGCCTGTGAGATGGCTTACCAAGTAAAGGGCTCTTCCTGGGCAAGCCTGGTAACCTGAGCTCGACCCAGGAACCTATACAGTGGGAGAATCTACTTCTGAGGCTGGTCCTCTGACCTCTATGCATTCCAACACAAACATGTGCACTGTACACACACACACACACACACACACACACACACAGAGAGAGAGAGAGAGAGAGAGAGAGAGAGATAATGAAGCAGATTGGATGTGTATTTCTAAGGACAAATTCTTGTTCTTAGGCCTTTCCTTTCCAGGATATTTGTGCAACAGGAGGAAAAAAAAGAGAATTCTCAAACTGAAAAGCTATCTTTATCAGCCCTGGGCGGGGGGAGTACACTAAATTCACTAGCATGCCAAGCCTCATACTTAAACAGTTAATTGCCTGGGATTTCATCTATTGAGGTGTCTAAGAAGTTTCATGGGTCTGGTGTGTAACAAGTGTCTAGACTGCCGACAGAAGGGGATTTATTTTAAGCACAATTCCTTAGGGCAAAGTCCTGTTCTGACAGTTGTTGTAAATGTATTTCCTTTAAACTTCTTTGTTTAAAATATTTTTATTTTGTTTACAAAAACAAGTATTTACATTGAATCTACCAGTGTCTCCACACCTGATGTTGCCATTGCTAGTTGTCTGGAAATGGGTCAGTCCATTAGTCTCTTGGGTTTGGACAGTCACTAGAGAAGGCTGCCAAGCTCAACAGAGACAAGGGCATAAAGACTCTAAAGACTTTCTTGAACTAATCAATTGGCTACCTGATTGGTTTTCAGTGCTGGAGATTAAATCCTAAACTTTGTACACACTAGGGAGGCAGTCTTCCACAGAGCTACCTCCCTGCACTCATGATTTAAAGTCTCCTCTATACGCCCAGTAGAAATACATACAGGCTAAAGCTTAGAGGATAGATACCACAAATGAGCATAAAATACAACAATAATCAACCTCTACAAGGTATTTACTGTCGTCAAATACTCCCACCGTTTGAACCCACTAGACAGCACTACTGGGAAGGCAATCTCATATTGGAAACAAAGACGAAAGGAACAAAGTGATGTGATGGAGAACATTTCCAATCACACGCTAGGCTGAGGCAGGAGGATCATAAAGCTGAGGTCAGCCTGGGCTACACAGCAAGACCCTATGTCAACACAAACACATGGGGGGGGGAAGGAGGGAGGGATGGATGGAGGGAAGGAAGGAAGGAAGGAGGGAGAGAAAAAGATAGAGAGATAGAGAGAGAGAGGGGGGAGGGAAGGGGATGACCGTGTGAAGCTACACACACAGCACTGAGTTCTGAGTGAGAGCACATGCCAGCTGGCAGTGGGCTTGCCTTGCAAGCATAAAGACTAAGGTTTAATCCCCATTATGGTTCAAAACAAAATCTAAACAGCAACAAAATAAAAATGTTTGTTCAATTAAAACAGAGGAGGGAACTGAATTTCCAACTAACCTAACCTCTGTCAAGTTTCTAGTCAATGCTTCCAAGCTTTGCAATGTTATGCACAGAAGCTAGTTATGAACAAAGGAAAGACTGCACCATGACTTTTACCAAACCAACAGACATCATATGGAAAAAACCTGATACAATGTATGATATAACCTGTTAAGATTATTAAGTTAGTGAGACTGGTTATACTTGTAGTCTTTGATTTATAGGCAGGCTTGAATGCAAATTTCATTGTAAGTCAATGATTTGGAATTCAAAAGCAGTTTCCCATGGGAGTAATGTTATACACGTGGCAGTCAGATTCCCAGGAAAATGCCTGCATCTTTTAAATTTGCGCTGTTGCTGTGGACTCTAACTACATATTACGGTGTTTCTGTGGGAAAGTATGCCTAGATTCTAATCTGAGATGCTAGGGGCACCTTGTACTGCCAAGGCTGTAGTGAGATCAGGACCTTTTACCAAGCTGTCCAAGTGGGCAGACTCACGGCCCCCAGGCACTCATAGAAGACTCAAAGCACTAAGGGTTAGAGGTCTGGAGGAAGAGTGGATCGGGCAGAATCTGCCCACTGTGTGGCCAGATCTTTTGCTCACTCAGAGGCCCCTGCTCTTTACACTACTTCTCTGGATCCTGTCCTCTCTCCTGGCCTATCGAGGAACAGAAGGCTATCTCCCATCCCCAACACCCCGAGGTGACACACCATCCACTGAAAGGCTCTTGTCAGAAGAGTTCAAGTATCACTATCACGTGTGATACATTTTGTTGTTCTCTGTACTTCTCTCTCCGTTGTGCCCCCTGTGGTCTTGCCATTAAAACACAGAACAAAGAATGAGAGGAAAAATAAAGCAGTTAGAAAATATTTTAAAAGATGGGGAAAAAACAGCCAAGCAGTATGGACTTCCAGAGCAGAAATGCTTGAGAAGATGACGGTTAAACTCAGACCTAGAAAGATACTGAGCGAGTTAGGACAAGCAGGGGCACAGGATTCAGACCGGCCGCAGAAAGCCTATGGGAGGGTAGATTTAATCAAATGAAAATGAAGGCCATTTACAGAGTTCAGAGAGTTCAGAGAAACAGGGAAATAAGAGCTGGCTAAAGAAACATTTAAAACCAAGCCTTGTGGTGCAGGTTCACTCTCTCAGGATAAGACAGGAGGATTCACAGTGCTGCACATTGAGACACTCTCAAAAAAGGAAAAACAAACCAAAACTATTCAGGAGAAAAAGCAAAAAGAAGTAGAAAGTCACTTCCAGAATGGTCCACATTCTGAAGTAGCTGAGTCAAACAAGTTTTAGGTTATTTTTAACAAAATAAGAGCTAAGTATGTTTAATATAATTTTAAAACATTTTTTAAAAATTATGTGTACTTGTGTGTGTGCTGTGGATGGGGATATGGAAGGGCAGTGCTGGCCGAGGCCAGAAGAGGGCACTGGATAATATAAAATATAATATATATTTAATATATCATTTTCAATCTAGAAAAGATGCTGGAGACAGTACCATGTGATTGTCCAGAAAATGAGGTAGAGCAGCTTTCAAGAAGAGGAAGTATAACCCTCCTGCAGTGGGAAGAAGGGAGCAGAGGCTGCTGTTGAAACACTACCTCATGTGGGGTCTGTCTGGAAGAGCTGAGGCAAGGGAGAGGGAAGCTGGGCCGGCGACAGCCATGGGATACGGCTCATTATGCTGTAGCAAGCATGGCCAGGAAAGGCCAACATGGGAGTATAAAAGAATACTTTAAAACCATCTACTGGCTGAGTACAGGATGTGGCAGGTTAAGCAAGCGCAGATGTTGGTAAAATGGGACTGCAGGCAGAGTGCAGCCTAAGAGCTTCTGTTTTCAGGAGGAGTGGTAATCACCTAGACACTATGACTATAGCCATCTTCTTTTTTCCTTTTCTTGTGTCTACCCAGAGTATTTTTTGGGGCTGCTGGAAGGTGGCTGCACTCAGTCAAGGAAAATGACTGGACTTTGGTCTCACGGAAGAGCTTCACAACAGTTCTCTCAGGACATACACAGGCAATCACAGTATTCAGTCAGGGTTCTAAAGACCTCATGTGGACTCAGGGA